AGCCCTCTCTCATCGCTCCAAAGCACAAACCGCCGCCGCATATAAACACAAGCACACACGCACAAAGAGAAAAAGATAGAGAGAGAAAGAACAACGAACCTTTGCTGACGCCGCTCTGGTCGCGTAGCACCGTGCATTCTTCGATGGCGCCGTACGGCGAGAACAACGTCCGAACGTCCTCTTCGCTAAACTTCTTGCTGATCATGCCGATGAACAGCTTTCTTTCTGAAAATCAACCAACAATTGGCGATTACATACCAACCAACCGCACAAGTGCACAAACAGACAATAGCTCTAACAAATCATAACCAACCGTTTCTGTTCTCGCTGTCGGCCGGCTTCATTTGTAGCGGATGGTGCATGCCGGGAAGCGTTCGAGCATTGTGCAACGCGCATTGGGCAAGAACTGCATCTTTCCGATGATAAAATGTTACAAAGCAGCAACCTAAAACAAAACGTTATGTCATAGCAAAAACAGACTAAATTCAAATAATAAAAACAAAGTGCCACAAACTTAATTTCTAATCTAACAGGTAGACGTAGACGAGAACAAAATACTATATTTCGCTTCCATCCGTTAAAAATATGTATATACAGTTTTAAACAGTGTATCACCCACCTAACACATAACAAGAACTGAAATCGCCTACGTCAGAAGAGATTAAATCAAATAAAAAGTTAGTATATACTAAACAACTGATTAAATTTTACTTGTCTGTTAATGCGATGATAAACGTATTTTAACATTAAAGCTCGAAAGTTTCAAGCTGCTGTAAGCAGATCGTAAAGTAAATAAAACATTAACCACGTTGCTTTGATTAAGGGCATATGGATAAAAGAATCAGCACGGATATACCATTCTACAAAACGATAATGCATGGCACAGAACAAGACTGCCTCACTTATAACAAAGAAGTAATCTTATAACTGATAAATGCAGTTATGGTATCTTTCCATAACTGTAGTTGAGTTATCTATTATATATGCTTTTCACATCAAATTTATACTTGGTACTGTCCATTTGGGCCTTTAAAGTCAACAAAATCATACCACTAGCAGAGATTCCCC